GCAAGGAAGGTGTACCAGCATCTCCTCGGCAGCCACTCGCATAGAGCACTGTCAGAGCACAGACACCGGCACAAGTGTCAATCCCAGGCTTCTCCCATGCCTTATTTGTGGGTTTGACAACCCTCCTCTGTGCAGCACTAACACAGTGTGACACTCCACAGTCTGTTTGTTTTAGCTTTTCTGTTAAACTTTGCTACCACACCAAGCAGTGTGGAAAATAATCTGCCTCCCCCAAGCACTGAAATATGGGTATGGCTGGCCGGCGGACAGCCAGCCAGTGGTTCTCCTGGCTGCCAGGCTGGTGTCGGCAGAGGAATGTCTCCTGACAGCCCGGCAGTCATCCTGGCATCAGGAATTTCATTTTCATCCTTATGAAGGAGGTGTCTTGTGTTGCCACCAGCCAACAGGTGGCAGAGGGCTGAGGGGCAGAGGGGCCAGGAGCATCCCAGGCAGCAGTGCTGGTGTTCCCAGCCCGCAGTGTGCCAAGGGTAGCCATGGAGCAGCCACAGTGGCAAAGTACCACCACACCCAAGGGTCAGGAGAAGGCAGTGGGTCAGTCAAGTGCCCTTTGCTTGGCATCTGGCCACTCCAGCCATCACTTGTGGACCCAGACAGGTGCAGACAGCACAGACCGGGGTAGAGCTGTGCCAGGGTCTGGCTCCACATGGGATAAATGCTGCTGTCCCCAGCCTGGCCTACAAGAACACAACTTGGACTTAAATCTCTGTGCACCCTCCAGAGCAAGCCGCACTGCTACAGACTACTGCAGCATTTTAATAATAGTCACAGCACAATACAGACTGCTTAAAAACCCAAAAGTACTGCCCTGTAACATGAGCGGGTGCCCAAGAACAGCTATTTCACCTGATGCTGCTCCCATCATGAAGCTCCAGAGTTCCCCCTGGGGTCTCCCAACCACGGCAGCAGCGTGCAGCCTCTGGACCCTGACAGAAACCTCCTGCGCTTGGGAATGTGCTAGGATTTACATACTTACTGGAGAGAAACAGCAGCTGCTCAGAAGGCAGGCTCAGCTCCCAGAAGCATTTCCAAGATGCCTATTAGGCAAATGCTGGCAGGCCATGCCCAGGTTCTCCAGGCAATCCATCCATCCTGCCCCTGTAGAATATCGGCAGCCACTCCGCTGGAACAGGCGGGCACCAACCTGGAACGCCAAGCCTAGTTGGGCCAGTGACTTGTGCAACCTCTGAGTGCAACAGCTTCCTCACATCCCCATAGACATGTCCCTTGGCAAGCAATCACCATTAAAAAAAAGTCTTTTAAAAGCTTTTATTAAAAATCCAAGAAAAAAAGAAAGAAAAATCTGTTAAAGCATTTGAAATGTAAAGCAAGGCTTTCATTTCAACAGCTTCCCTGCTGCCTTTTGTCTCTTCCTGTACAGAGGTTTCACAAAAAATCCACAGTTTGACAGACGTTCAGATGATATTAAAGAAGGCAACATCTGATTGTGGGGGAAAAGAAACAGTTCAGCTGAGCTGGGCCGGAGCTGTTGGACTGTGACCAGCTGCTCTGCAGAACCAAACGCCAATGGAAAGGAAGGTTCAGAGGGGCTTGGCAGCCCCTGCTAGAGAGAGGAGCCCATCCCACACTCACAGCTTTCCCAGCTCCCCAAGCCCAGCATAGCCTTCCAGGGGACATCCCTCCATCAGTGTGTCCTGGGCCCCCAAGTGTGGTGGGTCTGGGTCTGGCTGGGGGGGTCCCCCATCTCTGCAGTTCTCATGGCTGAACAGCACCATCTCCCCAGTTTTTCTGAGGGAGCCTGTCCCCACGCTGAGTGCTGAGACTGCATCACCTGAGAGGCCATTTGTGGTGGGTGGGCACAGGGAAGGGCACCTGCTCCAAGAAATTTCCCCATCACTGGCCTCTGCTTGTCCTGGGCATCACCTAAGGAAATTTCCAAGGATTCACCTGAAAACTCATCCCAGTGTAACCAGTCCTTTTGGAAGAAACCAGAGGTTCTCCTCAGCCCCTGCACGGCTTCTCTCAGCCCTGTGTCCCTGCTCTGTGGAATTGTTCCCGTGGGCAAAGCAGGAGTAGGTCCTTTCCTGGGACCAGGGGCTCTGGGTCCCTGCCCTGGGAGCAGGGCTCAGCAGGCATGCCACTCTCTTGGCACTTGGGAGGCAGGAACAGGCACGAAGGAACACTTCTGCTGTTCTAGCAAGGAGCGATAGATTAAAAAGCTAGTTAAAAATTCATCCAGGAGAGGCAGAGTTTCCCAAGCATATCAGAGTTAATATTTATAAAGGGGATTGTTGCTCAGGCTCAATTATCCTAAAAGCTTGGTACAATTGATGCATTGGAGAAACCACGAACACAGGCATGTCAAGGGAAAACCATTCCCTGTGACTGCTAACAAAATGCAATCAGATCTGCAGCATGTGGAGCCAATTGATTTTCAACAAGTCATACAATGTAAACAAATGATTGATTCTCAGCGCTTTCATTTCTGAGCAAGCAGCCAGGCACCTCTCCAGCTCCCGGCGCAGGTGAGGCTGGAGGGAAACACGGCTGCAGCGGGGCGGCTGCAGCCCTTTCATCAGCCAGCCAACAGCAGGAGCTTTGATTTTTGTTCCCTCAGCCCCTTAAGCAGCCACTAAATAATGAACAGTTCCTCACGTAAGCAGCCCCCGATCATGTGAAATCCTTCTGCTGCCAGTGGTCATGTCAGACCACTTTCCGCCTTCACTGGGAGTAGGGAGTTTCCTATTTCTTTTGCATTTTGCCTCCTCTGATGTTTCCAGCTTTGCTCTGATTTACTCGAGACAGATGAGACAGGAATATCTCCGAGAGCTTTATCACTGCTTTCTCGGTGGCTGCAGCAGCGGCAGCGCGCTGGTGTGTGTCTGCGCCGGCCGTTCGGCGGCTGCTGAAATCGCTCCCCGCTCCCTGGGAAACCAATAAGCCGATACCACTGCACCGGCGGCTGCCGGACCGCGCCCCTGGGTATGTCAAATTAAACCAGCGCCGGCAGCCCGGCCGTAACAGCACCTGTCCCTGGGCAGGGAGCTGGGGCTGCAGCTGTCAGTGCAGCATCCACCCCCACCAGTGGAGCCGCAGGGCACCGGGGTGACGACCACTGGCACATCTCCTTTCCCCTCATCAGCGCCCCTGCTCACGCCCTCCCGCTGTTGCGGCGCCGCGGAGGCAGCGGTGCGGGGCAGTGCGTGCTCCCGCACTGCCCTGAGCCTCGCCGGGTGCTGTCGGGATTACCAGTCTGAGAAGACGAGTCACGTTTCCATGAACTGTGATAATCATTGCAGCAATAGCTTTAAAACTGCGTTTCCAGAGCTCCACCACCCGCCTGTTTCCGCCCCGTGTGCAGCGATGAGCTGTCGGACACTTATGCAGCACAGGGTCCTGAGGGTCCCCGGGCAGGGGGAACCACTGCCCCATGTCCCAGAGCCCCAGGGGACAAGGACCTGGATTTCTGTTCTCCCAAAGCTGCCAACCACGTTATGCCAGCAGTGAAAGCTGCCCTGGGGGCGGTGGGTCCCCGGGCAGCCCCGTCCGGGCGTGCAGGGCGGGGTCAGCACGGGGCCGCCTCCTCGGATGTCCGGCGTGGGCTGCAGCTGCCCTCTGGCTACGGAACCGAGTCCTTCCCAAGAACAGCCTGCTCTTTCCAGAGCCCCCGGCGTTAGGCATCCACTGATCCCCCGCTGGGGGTTCCCGGAGGCGCCAGAGGCTCGGGGCTCCCCGGTGCCCGCCCGGTGGTCTGTGTGGTGGGACAGGCGCTGTGCCGAGGGTTGGTGGTGCCTGCGGTTTGCCGGGGGCTGCCAGGCACAGTGCCCGCTCCCTGCGCCAGGGCTTGGCACCATTCCCTGCAAGTGGGCACAAATTCTTCCTAAAACACAGAGGAGGCTTGCATGGGCGCTGAGAGATTCCTGCACAGACGCCACCAGGGCCAGAAGTGTTTATCTTTAAAATTAAAATGGTCTTTTTAAAGCAGATTAAAACTCATTGTGAAAGTAACCATGAACATCTGTGATCTCCCCACAAAGGCCTTCCTGGCTCTTTTAGAATTTGCCCTGTTCTCATTATAGTATCAGCATAATTCTGCCTCTTTATTTAAAGCCTGCAAGATATTTGTATTTCAAATAATTTTTACAGAGTTCAAATGTGCATCACAAGCTGTTTTTTCTACTTATGTATTAATTGTATGTGTGTGCCCAGTGCTAAGCCCGATTGCCATGTAATTTGTACGACATAATTAACCATGTAGAAACCATATTACATTGTGTTTGGAAGAGTTACATCCAGTTAATCGAATTGACTAATAACATGTTTTCATTTAGTAGCACGTACTGTATTTCCAGTGATTGAATTAACGTCATGTTAACGGCTGCTTTTTGCAACAACATTTGGCATAAATGGCATTAAAAATTGATGTTCGTACAAATGTATTTTGAATACAGCTCAGCATGTGGCCTGGGAAAACACTCCTGTTGTTTATTAAATCAGCTCCACTTGTGAGTGTGCTCCGAGGCACAGCACTGTTGCCCTGCCCATGTGCTGGGACCCCTGGGACCACTGTCCCCCTGTCCTGCTCTGGATCTGAGCCGCCCCAACTGTGGTACAGACTCCTCTCGCTCCCTTGGGTGGCAGTGCCTGGAGTTAGAGTTGGGCTTGTGGGACACATTTTAGAAGGGATCTCTGTTCATCAGGCTGTGATGGGAAAGCTCTGGGCATCTGCTGGTAGAGGCAGATGAAGAGGCAGCACCAGCTATGCCCCTTGGAGAGCCCCCCCCCACTGTGCCTGGCCAGCCTGCTGGCCTCTCCCACAAAAGCCACGAGGGTAGGATGGACAAATGCTCTGCAGCCACCTTCTTCCTTCTTGTCCATGTTTGCAGATTGTCCCCAGGGAGGTGGATCAATGTGCCTGTAGCCAGGAGGCTCCTGCTTGCTTTGACCCACAGTGGGAAACAACCGGTGTTGCCTAAAATCTTAAGGTATCACCAGAACTGCAGTGTCTGGGCCCCTCTCCACAGCTCTCCCTCTCTGGAGGAGCCAGGAGAATAGGCAAGGCCCATGGAGCACAGCCAGGCTGGTGGTGTCCAAATCTGCAGCCACAAGCACAATGAAGGAGCCTGAGCCTGTTTCTCCTTGAGGGATTAAAAATACTGATTTTTTTATTCTATACCCAGCAGTGCATCCTGTTTCTGCTGGGAGGGAGGGGTTTGGTTTAAGATACTTGTGAAAGCAAAGGAAAGAAAGGACAGGAAAATTGGTGGTTTTGGTGGCACTTGTCTGGGAGCCAGGAAAGCAGAAAAATAAGGCACAGATACATTTGTGCTGATGGCAGCCTGATGTCTTGTCTCCTCATACACATTTTCCATGCTGTTGCAAAAATGCTTTCTCCTCACCTATGTAAGCACCACTCCTGCAAAAGACACCATGAGAGGTCTGTGAGCCAGGGGCGCTTCACAGCTCTGCAGGAGAGAAAGTTTCCCTTCCTCGGTTTGCCATTTTCTTTGCAAGTTATACAGGCTCCATTCTCCATCTCTCATACAGTCACTGCTGATAAGTTGCACAGGTGAACATACCTGTGCCCAGCCTGCACCATGGAGAGGGACACGCCGGAGCTCCGTTCCTGCTGCTGACGTGGCCAGCTGTAACCCCATGGCATCCACAGTCTGTGTGGGAGCAGCAAGGAGCCGCTGCAGTCGGTTGTGCCCTCCAGCACTGTCCATCTGCATGTGCCACCCCCAGCATGGTCTGTGCACAGTGAGGGAAGGAGCATCCTGCAGATCCTGTTGGAATGGGACACGTGGTGAGGCAGGCAAGCTGAGCTGGACAGCATAGTGCAGCAGGGAACAGCCTTTGCCTTAGTGTGTGACCCCACCAGCCAGGAATGCTGCTCCCAGGAGCCCTCAGCACACGGCAACCCGAGCTGATCCCTGCCGGTTTCAAAGACAAATCACAGACTCAAGCTCCACCAGAGAATCAGCACAAAGAGAACTGACAGCCCCGACTCATGGGACTACCTCGTTGGTCCCCAGGGTGTCATTGCATCCCACCTGAGACATCGGTGAAACAAAAGCGCACCTGGAAAGAAGCTTAAATCACAGAACCACAGAGCAATTAAGTCATGTTCATACAGAGCTATTAGTGCCGATTCTCACACTCTTTACATAGGAGCAGCACATAATAATAATTTCCAATTAAATTACGTTTCTCCAAGGTGCATTAACAACTTCTATCTGTCCGATTAACTGGACCCATCTCTGCTGCATGGAGCAGTTACACCACTCCAGAGGGAAAGCAGACAGTTAACAACACCCCCTGCTGTGGTGCTAATGCAGGAATACTGCTGTAAAACCCATGGACACACTCACTGCAAACTGTCCACCCAAACACAGCTCCTGGCTCTCTGCCCCATGCTGTCCTGCGCTCTGCTCACTCCTGTGGTGTGACACGGGAATACGCCAGTGCCTGGGCTCCATTCTGGCACTCAGCTCTCGCTGCTGTCTTCTCCCAGGACACGGCGCCCAGCAGTTCTGCCAAAGGCAGCTTTGGTGAGGAAATTGCAGAGGGCCCAATTTGTGCTGGAAGAGCTGACCTGCTGCCATGACCCAGGGATGAGGGTTTATTTACTTGAGCGGGATGAATAATTCCATGCAAATTCTTTGGGCACTCAATTCTTCAGACTCCTCTTGGTGAGAAATGAAGGGAGATTCCTCCTATGAAGGAGAGAGAGCATCTGTGCAGGAGGGCAGCAGCAGAGGGCCAGCACATATCTGAAATACAGCGAATGGGACACCCAGATGTGTGCATGGTGACTCGAGTGTGTCTGCAGAGAGTGCACAGACATGGGAGCAGCTGCACCTGAGATGGAGCCTGAAGGCACCTTCCTACCAAATAGGTAAACAGAGATCTTAAAAAACAGTTGCCTTCTGACCCTGGAGCTTTGTAAATCAGGTCACTACAGCTCCATGAGCCCTGCCACTTCCTCATGATTGCAGTTCCTCTGTGGGAGTGACCACCTCGACACCTCTTGGGGACTGAGGTGGTCTGTGGCGGGAGGCAGTGCAAATACGGGAACAGGCAGGTGCACCCAGAGCAATTGCCTACACCCACATGGACACCAGGCAGCTGCATTAGGGAACAGTGAGACTGAGTGGGCATCAGAACATCATCAGGGTCCCTAAACCAGCAACACATTGAAATGAGCAGGGATAGGACAGAGACAACCCATATGGGAGAGGGAGAGGTCTTTTCCAGGAGGCCTGACAGGCCTCTGACCTGCGCTGGAGGGGAGGTGCTGGGATGGCAGAGGCACATGTGTGTGTGCACCCATATGCCCGTGCCCATGCTGCAGGGAGGGGAGCGTTCTCACTCATTCTGTCCACAGGCACAGCTGACATACGCTCAGGAGCACACAGTTATCAAAATGTTATAAATTGCTGCCTTTTAAATAGTGTGGTAATTTGCTAGTCCATTACAGGAGGAGCTGTAGTATACAAGGAGCACGCTATGAAAAATTAAGCCTTCTGCGTCACTGCTGACCTCTGCAGCTGAGGTGCTCTCAGAACTGCTCCATTATGTCAGCCTGCCCTGAGCAATTAGCCACCCCTCAGCGCTCATCTGCATGTCACTGTGCCTCGGAGGACAACACTCGCCTGGCAGTTCCTTTCCCGGAATCATTCACTGTGGAGGTTCCACTCACGACTCCATCAGCCCAATGGTCACCAGGAGATGGCCCCAGCAGGGGACCCCAGCGGCTCTGCAGCCACCCCTCCTGCTGTAATCAGTGCACTTGTGTAGCCATCACTGTGAGCAGTGACACCTAATTTTAAAGCAGCAGTTTCGCTCTTTGAATTCCTCAGGCTTGGAAACAATCCGTTCTTGTGAGAAGCAGTGTTTTCAGTGGAAGGGCTGCTGCCCAGCATGGTCCATGCAGAAGGCAGCCTGCTCCACCATGGCAGCACGGATGCTTCCCAGCAGGATGTGTTCCTCTGGAGCAGAGATAGCCATGCTCCCCCCTCCAGGTTCTTGCTGACAAATGCACAGGTCTCCTCTTCTCATGGCAGTCCTCAGCCCTGTCCCAGTCTCATTACCTCCAAGTTTCAAAAAATCCTACTTTTCCAGTGCTGAAGCAAACTACAGTTTTTCTACATAGTATATAGCTTTTACTCAAGGAAAACATAGTCTATGATACAGATCATCTTTAGTCTCTTAAGGGATTCTTGGAATTCCTACAGGTCTTGAACACAGGGATATAAATCTTCCCTTTGCTGCCCACTAACAGAGGTACACATCAGAGATCCCATTTCCAAGGTCTAAACTCCCTAAGAGGGAGCTTCTTAAGGCCAGGAAAGAAGCATGGAGCCTTTGCAGTGCCACCTCCAGCATCACACAAGAGTGCCGGAGCCAGCGGATGGGGATGAGCCACGATGGAGCCAGCTCAGGGTCCTGGGACCTCTGGAAATGACCCTTGGCAGAGCACGCAGCATCCTGTGGATGGTCACAGCCTTGGGATTGAACAGAAGCCCCTGACTGCACCAGTCTGAACAGACAGCAATGGGAAAAGGTAAACCAACCCCTCCTGTCTCCCAGAACAGCCTGTCACCTCCTCTGTGCAACTACTCCTGGGCCCCTCTTTGGAGACTGTTTGTATCCCGCCTGGCCCCCCGGGCCCAAGGGCCAGGGAGCAGCCCCTGCCCACAAACCGCCTGCATGATCCCAGCCAGTCCTGGCACACCTCAGAGCCCACCTGGTTTGTTCCAGCACAGGCTATGTCCCATTCCCAAGCCTTCGGCCAGGAATCTCCCATCCTTGAGGCTTCACATCAAGGTGTGCACCAGCCCAGGACTGCACTGCAGTCAGGGAGGGCAGAACCCTTGGACATTCAGCTCACACCAGGAGAATTATGTTCATTACACCAGTTTTGTGCAGGGCAAAGGGATATTTCTCCTAAACCATGTTTAATTTCTGCACATAAATCCCTCCAAACTGAACTTCCCATTTATTTTATGTGCTTAGATATTTCCTCATGAGTTGCAGGTGAAATCCACATCCTGGCACACACATAAAAGCAAAGGCAGAAGGAACGCATCCTGGCAATATATGCATCAACCCTGGAGATATATATTTTCTTGCCGGGGAGGAAACACACAAACACCAGCTATTATTTTCTCTCAAAATATACATGTTTCAGGACAAAAATAAACATGTGAACACAGGATGTGTTACTTGCAGGCTTTCTGCCCAGAGCCAAGGTGACAACCAGCAGTTCAGAGGAAACTTGCACACAAGTTATGCTCAGCCTGCTCATTAAAAACACATCAGGGAACCTCCAGCACCCTGGGAATCCCGGCAGCACTCTCTGATCCTATCACACACACAGAACACACAGGCTGCTGCCATTCTGCTCCAGGAAAACCCGGCAAAAGAGGGAATGCAGGAAGGGGTGGCAGCAATGCAGGGTCAGGGGCTGGCACAGCCTGGCAGGGACCCCACAGCTCCCCACTCACTGCACCCAGTGCACACCCACTCTCCTCCAAGAGATGAGCCAATGCTTCCACTGTGGGTGGTTGTCCTGGTCCCTGTCAGTGTGGGACAGCTGGGAGCTGGGGCAGGACCTCGCCACTTCGCATCCTCCACATCACATTCCTCACAGGAACGCCGTCAGGGAGCTTTGTGGGATCGTGAATATGAATTGCTTTGACCTCACTTAGTCTGATATGGTGGAGTATTAAATCTCTATTTTTCAAGCATTAAGCCTGCGTAATAGAAGGATGCTGCGAGCAATTTGCAGTAAGATGAAGGGATATTACTGTCCTGGGAGACAGACAATCCAACCACATCCACAAATTGATAACAGAGATAGTGGCTTAGGTTCATGCTAGCTATTAATTAAGGGCATGTTTTATGTGGAAGACAATACCAGCTTACACAGGCAGGTACTTGCTGGCCTCCCCTCCCCTGCAGTGAGTAGCACTCCCAGAGCTGGAACGCAGCCAGGTGAGTTCGTACCTTGCTGAACTACAGTTCACACACTTACATTTGAATCTCTGACAGGCAAAATTAATTTCTCAAGCCTTTAGCACTGCAGCTTCAAAGTGGCTGTTCTGGCTGAGGAGCTGCTAGGAGCTGTGCCACCGGGATCAGCGGGCGAGCCCTCCTTCCAGGGACAGTCAAAGGCTTGGCCAGCGCAAAGCACCACCATGCTGACAGCTCTCACATCTCTGGCTGCTAATGAGCACTAACCATGTCCTGAGCTCTTCCTCTGCCCTCAGAACTCACTGCCTCGTTAGCTGGCTGATCCTCAGCTCTCAGCAAAGAAATCCAACATCAGGTTTCAGTCTTTCTTGCCTTTCCTTCTCTCATCTTGGCTGTGGCAGCATCCCACCCAGCTGAAGGATGTTATCCTTCTCCCACTCACTGCCCCCAGCATGCTCCTTGCATTTCCCAGCCCCTGCGGCGGGACTCTCAGCATCTCACATCCACTGATTGACTTGGTTGATTTTACACACACACTAATTTTGTCCTAATTACCAACAGAATATTACCCTTTCACAATCTTTTGCTCCTCACCCTAAAATTCAGCAGCAAGCCTGCAACATACCCTGACAGCTGCCCCCCCATGCCGGCACAAAAGACCCACCACTGCTTCTGTTTCAGGAAAACCCCTCCGCAGCCTCAGCCAGGTTTCCCATGCAGGGACACTCGCCCTCAGGAGCCACAGCCACCTGTGGCGCAAGGTGAAACATCGTGGAGGGCAAGAACCAAGAGACCCCAACCAGTACCCCCAGAACCTGTCTGGCTGTGGAGCCAAGGTCCAGAGCACCAGCAGTGCCACGGTGTCTGAGTGCTCTTCTGGAGAGGGCCTTCCCTGCTGGGAGTTGTAAAGCCAAACAGTGCAGGTCAGCTGCGGAAATACCCTACAGAATACCGGAGGAAGCAGCAAAAAAGTCCTGTGTGATGAATAAATTGAAGCATGCCTTCTTATGGACAAGCACCTATGGAGAAGAACCCAGACAGATAAATCAGTGGGCTACGCTGAGGAGATAAAGAGGTTTATTTTTTTCCAGATGGGACTAGAGAACAGCTGGAGAATTGATGAGGTGATAAGGACAGGAGATGGCTCCAGACAGGCTCCCCCTGACACATCAGAGACCTGTGCTGGGCCACAGACAGGTCACACATACACCCCTTTCTAGAAAACTGTGCTCAAAGATGGGGGGAACTCCTGGTGGGAAGCATGAGCGCTTAACAAACCACAACAGCTCCCTCCAGGCTCTCCTGATAAAGTGTCCCCTGGCCACTGGTTCCCAGAAACATTGGTTGGACCTAGGGAACGTCCATGAGCTGGACAGGAGGGGACCTGCTCAGACACCCCCTGGCTGAGCAGAGCAAGAAAAGGCAAGTAGAGACCTCGGTGGGGGCTGCTGGATAGGGACATGCTGGTCAATGGTGAGAAATGGAAAAAGATACAAAACAAAGGGAAAGAAAGGATAAACTGAAAGTCGGGCCACTGAGGATGAAAGGAGAAGCTCTCTGAGAGAGAGCTCACAGCTGCAGACACATCTGGCCACAGGCTCACCCCGTCTGCAGGGTCTCCATTAAAAGCCCAATGCACATGCACTTACGAAGCCGCAACATGTCCTGGGCTGAAGTGACCATCAGCCCAGCAAGTCTGGAAGTATCTGTGCCTTTGCACAGTCAGCATCCATACCCAAATCCCAAAGCTGTATCTATACTGTGCCCAGCACACTGTGGATTACAGGATCC